AAAAAAAATAAAAAACAATAGAATTGGCAATGGTGAACAAAGAATGTTGACCCTTTTCTTTGTCCTCTGTGTTAGTGATAAAGGAAGGGGAAAAGAAGAAGTCTGTGCTGGAAGGGAGTTCATATAAAATAACATCATTAATGAGAAAGCCAGGTTCACTTATAGAAGAGAGGTAGAAAGAGCAATGGAGAGAAAGAGATAGAAAACCGAAAATTTTCATAAAAATAGGGAAGAAATCATAGAGCATACCCATAGAACCTGCTGCCACAAAAAGACAAAGGCCCCCTCTAGGACTCATAAGGGTTATTCACAAATATTCTGATTCACAAAGCCAACATAAACATGGACTTGCTCTGGCCAATTAAACGTGATCAAGTGACTTGTGTCACTTCCGGTAGAAGTTCTGTGAGCTGGTACACAATTCCCCACAGTCTCTTGACCTCAGGCAATCTGGAGGCATGAGTCATAACGGAGCTCTAGTATGGGGGTCCTTGAGAAGCAGAGCACCTTGCCAACTTACCAGACACATGTGACTTGAGTGAAAAATAAATATTTATTGATTTGAGCCCCTGAGATTTGAGGGATGGTTTGTTACTACACCCTAACCTGTCCTGAGTAATACTCTAGTTACTCTAGAGTTACTCTAGTTACTCAAGTAACTAGAACTAAGAAGCTTTTTTAGAAAGTTCTTGAGATTCTACTCATGATTCTCAGAAAATATATCCGTATTTATAAATTACAAAATGTTCGTCAAAATAGAAAGAACTCTGTGAGTTTAGGCAAGAATACTCCAAGATTAGCATACCCTAGTGTTCACTGATAATTCAGGATCAGCAGCAGCCCTTGGGACCCATAGTCTCCTTCTCCAACCCCACTGCTACCCAATCTACTAGCATCACTAAGCCAATGCTACAGGCTCCAGGGAGAATGCAGGTGAAAGGGGCCACTCTCGGGGAACGACCCGGTCTGAGCTGCAGATGGAGGAGACGGCAGAGGGGAACAGTTTGTACCTGGAGAGTGTGCAAGGGAATAGGTGAGAAGTTAGCAAGATACTGATACAGAGGCTCACTAGACATAGAATCTAGAATCTCAGAGTCAGAAAGGTAAGCAGGACTCATGTAACCAATATTTGACAGTTTGGCGATGATCAGAAGGCAGAATTTACTGACTGGAGGTTTTAGGAGCTAATAGAATGGACCAACTCCAATATTAGATGGGAAATCTGTTTATTTTAGTTTTTGTTTCTATCTTTATTTACTTTTCACAGACTGGGAGATATGGTGAGTAGGATTTGGTATACTCTGGGATGATTCCAGTTACATCTGCCAACACCTATAGAAAATTCATCAATTCACAACATTTTGATTTTTTAAAATAGTCTGGCAGTGATGATACCACATGAAAGAGCTTGTCTCCTGAATCAAATAAGTATCGATTATATATATATATAAAATCAACTTTCTTAGACCTGCTCCAGTTTCTAGGCCCATGGTCCCTGGTTGTGATGGCACAGATGTTTGGTGAGGTGCCAGTTGCCACCTGCCATGGGATGATTCCAGCGGGAAGTGGCAGACCCAAGCAGGACAGTCTCACTCAGAGCTGTCATTTATGGCTTATAATATATGGTACACTAATGACTTCATGACACTATTATTCCTTTGCTTAGCTTCTCAAAGGACACCTGGCTCCACCGAACAACTAGCTTATTTTGTCACACTGTAGGTCATCCCGACCTTTAGAAACAGAACTGAAGAGAGGAGGGAGCACCATGCAACTGTCACACCATTAGTCCCAGCCCTAGAAACTCAATGCTACTGAAGTTCAGAGATGCAGAAGAGACTGCTGGGAAGGCTGGCTGCCTTCTTAGTTCTGACAAGGATAATTCCAGAGCCTATGGCTTCTAGTAGTAAGGCTTCAAACTGGCAGCATTTAGATGTATGCATTTTTTTGACAGTTTTCTTTAGGTTACACTAAAGGCTCTCAGGAGTTAACACTATAGGGCCACAGTCTAGCAGATAAAATGAGACTCATTTGTTCATTTTAGTGAGATGTGCATCAGTGAAGAAAAAAGGAGGTAGAGAAAATTTTGCATTTAAAGATCCTGAATGAGCATCACATATCTGTTATTGTTACCATTAGATTATTTTCCATTTATTTAGCATTTTCAAAGCCAAACGCTATACCACAGGCCTTCCTTTGTTGACTTTACATCTTCTCTCTCTTTTTTTTTAAAGATTTTCTTTATTTATTTGACAGAGAGAGAGATAGCGAGAGCAGGAACACAAGCAGGGGGAGTGGGAGAGGGAGAAGCAGGGCTCCCCGCAGAGCAGGGAGCCCGATGCGGGGCTCGATCCCAGGACCCCGGGATCACGACCTGAGCCGAAGGCAGACGCTTAACGACTGAGCCACCCAGGTGCCCACATCTTCTCTTTTTTATAAATGAGTGGGGTCTGCCATCTTAACTATATTGAGTATTTCCACTCCCTTTTCATTTAAATTATGTTTAAGCCAGGCATAAGGTACTACTTGCATTTAAACAAATTAGATCAATGGAGTTTTGATAACTCAGCCAGTTTTATTCAGAATAGGCCTAAATCAGACATGTGTGCTGCCAACTCCGAAAGGAGTTTTATTTGGAAGTTATGGCTTTGGACAGATAAGATTTTTTTCCAACTCATACATAATAACTTGCTTTTGACATACGATCACTTGTTACATGCATTTTTGTAATATAAAACCTGGGCTATGGTTAAGTTTTGCCCAGGTAAAAAATTACAGAACTCTGCACACAATATGGAATCTTTTCTCTTTTATTAGCAGTTCAAGGTACATACCAGGAGGAATTTGGGCATGCAACCGAAGCAGTAATTCCATCTCTGCCACAAAAATAAGGAAGAAAGGATACCCAGCAGTTCTAGGACATAACTGTGCAGAAGAGCACCCATGTTCCACGTGCTTCCGTGTGGAAACACAACCACGTTGCTTACCTTCCTCCTTGTGCTGCATTCAAATAAATATTTTCTAAGGAACATTTGAAAATTAAACCCTACATGAATTTGAGGAAGGTGGACAACTCCTGTAGCTGGTTCTGATTCTAGGCTTTATGGGCCATCAAGGTCTATTGAGAAAGAAAATCACTCATTTTAAGAGTGAAGGGCCCTGATCCTAGCCTCGAGGAAGAGGGCCTGGTGCCCAGGAGGCCAGTGAGGGGAATTGAACAGCCTCTGCTTACATGCTTGCTAGAATGCCCTGGATTGTAACGGGAGAAAAGCCTTCACCGCCAACCACCCAGGCTCAAGCCCCTCCAGCCAAACCACCGGTATCACTTTCCTGTGGCTGCCATACAAAAGCAGTGGTTTCAACAGCACAAATTGATGCCCTCGCAGTGCTGGACAGCAGAAGTCCCAAGTAAGTCTTACAGCGCTAAAATCCAGGCAGGGTTCATTTCTTCTGGAGGCACTAAAGGAAAATGTGGTCCTTGCCTTTCCCAGTCTCTAGGAGCTGTCATCCTTGTCTCATGACCCCACCTCCCATCGCCTCTTCCCTCCCTGCTCCCATTACTGCATTACCTTCCACCTTTGACCTTCTACCCTCCCTGTTATAAGGAGCCTTGTGATTATATTTAGGACCCATTTGGCTAATCCCGCATAACCTCCCCATCACAAGATCTTTAACCCCTTCACATCATACAAAGCCTCCTTTGCAACACACATGGGTTCCAGGGATTAGGATGCCCTTATCTTTGGGAGGCCATTTTTCAGCCCACCACACCTCCCATGTGGGTGCTCCATCCTCTGGTGCTGGAGGACACTGCACCCTCTCTTACCCACTCCCTCTCCCAGCGACGGCCCTGCTGAAGTGACGTCTGCGGTTGTTTCTTCAAATAATCCCCCACCGCTACCCCCACGTACACAAAATGCTCTGAGGTACTCACAAACTCAAAATGCAGGAAACTAGGACATATAACAGAGGGGTAGAAGAGAAGCTATTCCCCTGTATTTGGCCAAGAACCAGGGAACGCAAAACACAACAAGCTGAAGATCCTTGAGCAGGGACAACAGTGAATGACCTCACTGATGTTGGGGGGGGGGAGTCAATTTCAATCCCCTTGAATCTCAGGAACGATGTCCCATGATGAGGGTGAGTGTGAATGGTAGTGACATTATTATAAGAGAAATATCCTAGTGTACATTCTAATGTCCATTAGTTTGTGATTGATTTAAATACTTGCAAATTATTTAACTGGAATACTGCGTGTTCTCCAGAGGGAGGAAAATAGTTTTTTTTCCTATAGCTGGTTATAGAAAAACTAAGCCATTTAATGCCCACCCAGACCAGTTCGTGGCATTGTAGCTTATTAGGTTTGGTTGGCCCAGCAGCAGGGTAAAGCTATTCACAGATTTCCTCGGTATCTGATCCGTTTCTGGCCGGGATAGCAGCACCTTGTTCCTTACCGTGGAGGGGTATAAATCTGAAGCACGAATGAGCTACCATTCCAATAAGACCAGATCCTTTAAAAGCTCAACACTCGAGAAAGATGTGGAAAAGGTTATGTTTGAAGACAACACACAGCACAGGCATCTTACAGTAAATTTTATTAGGTTTTTAAAGAGAATTATAGATGATAGTGGATCTGTGGCATAATGGATAGTCCCAGAGGAACTACAAAGCTGTGATGCACATGAAGGGTTCCAGTAATGTTGTAAACAGCGAAGTGTAGGCCCAGCCGTTTATGAATAGCCAGTGTACTCAAAGAAGAAATTCAGCTTCATATTAAAGTTGATATAATCTAGTGGTATTTAATTCTCAGTAATGATTTTTATTGATTTCCATATTTTAGTAATGCAAGGAAATAAAATGCCTTAGAACCTCAGAGACGCTATTATGGAAAGAAAAGTATTTTTATTCTTATAACTAGGCTATTGTGATAGCTTTTCATTCATTCCCTCGTTCATCTATTCATTCAACAAATCTTTCCTTTGTACCTCATCTCATGATTGATATTGTGGGGACATAAATAATGATAATCATTTAATCATCTTTAGGTTTACAATTTACATGGCACTTTTCCAGATGCTATTCCATTTAATAGCTCTAAAATAGGTATTTTTTTCCCATTGCCTTATGGATGGGGAAACAAAAAGCTTAAACAGTCAACTATCTTCTCAAAGGTCACACAGTCTTAGGGAACTGGCAGAGTTATAAGTTAATCCCAGTTATTCTGCCTCCAGACCCACCAAACTACGTCATGATTTGCTCCCTGCCTTCTGAAATCTTACTGTCTTCAAGGGGTCTTACACATAAATAATCATAATACAAGTAAGAGGTTGTCTATACCATAAAATCAAGAATCTGCAAGTATTTTCTCAGGCTCCTGGCAGACTCATAAATCACACTGAGTGGAGAGTTACCCCTTTCCTATGCCTCTCCTCAAACCAAAAGTTAACTACCTTTTCAACTTTCATCTAAAGTTTTATCTCTCGATTAACAGCCATTTTCCACAATGGAGCACAGCTTCTAATGAGTTCACAAAACTTACTGCCTATATTACAACAAGAAAGAACAGTGAAGCCTTGCTGAGGTCTAGATACTCGGCCGAGCATGACTCATTTCCCGTGAGAAAATTCACTACTGCACTCCCACTTTGCGGCATTCAAGATTTGGATTGCACCTCAGCAATGTTCAAAACGCCTTTGAATTGGGCTTTTATGGGCTTTTGTGAGTAATCAAAACTTAAAATGTTAAGTCCATGAGTGGTCAGGTTCTACAGTGGACAGAAAAGTGTTGAGGAAGTTGAAAGAAAAGAGAAATCCCAGCTGATGGAGGAAAACCAAGCCGGCTTCGTGCAGAAGACAGCCATAGGGCTGAGCGCTGGTGTCTAAGCCAGCCTTTTCTAAGTCGGTGGGACTGCAGAAAAGATTCCAAGAGGAGGAAATGCCATGAGCTGAGGTGCGAACACAGGGACGAGCTGGGTCTGTTCAGGATGCACCAAATAGCCATAGGAGAATAAAGTAGAAGAAAGAAGGAGCTGGATTATATACTATACTCGCTGGTAATAAAGTTACTGAAAGTTTAAGACCAGGGTGATGACATTTTCTTTAGAAATGTACTCAGGGAAGCACATTTGGCAAAAATGCAGAATGGATTTAAATACCTACCTGAGAGTTTTCCCAACCTCCCTCTTTCTCCCTAACAAATATAGAGACCAAAAATAGCAGATATTCACTTACCTGGTTATACTTGCACTAGGGCAGAGGAAAGTGGCCCAGTCCTGGCTAATAAGATGTACAGAGAAGTCTTCCAAGAGTTATCTGGGAAAGCTTTTCTCCCTTGATAAGACACACGGGGAGAAATTCTCCCCACTCCCTTCCTGCCAACTGAATGCCCTTGTGTGAGGACCTGACGTCTGGACCTGCTGCAGCCATGGGGAGCACGTCAAGGAAGTCACAGAATACCAATCCAGAGCCCTGACATTGCTGAACTATTAAAGCAACCCTGGAGCCTCCTACTTAGGATCTTCTTGTTATGGGAGGGAAAAAAATGTCCCTGTCATTGAAGCTACTTTTCGTCTGTTTTTCTATTTGTTTTAGCCAAAAGCAGCCTATACCAGAGGTAGAATGATGCTGGTGAAATGTAATGATTGCCTGGATGGTGGCAATGGATCTGGAAGTAATAGGATGTATGCAAGATAAATATGTGAGGTAAGATTAAAATCTCATGGACTGATTGGCAACACTGTATATAAATTCTCTCATAATAAAACTAGGAATCCTCAACCCACAAGTGAGTTTTGTTTTTTAAACTTGACAAGTAAAATAAGTGTAAATGTGAGGCTAAGGAGACCTGGATACAGCTAAATCTAACCCAGATGTTAACCCAGGTGGCAACCTGGAATATGATCATTACAAAGAAACTTGTAATCCGATTGGCTGTATCATGCCTATCCGAATTAAAAAAAAAAAAAAAAAATCCCAGATTAGAGTACCAGACCAAAGTCTACATCAGAAAGCCAGGGAAGTATGAGTCAGGGTTTACCCAGCACTATGAGAAGAAGGTCCTGGACCTGGAGGCTGTGGGCAGATCTAGGGCCAGACTTGGAAGATGTTGACCTCCCCAGCAATTGACATCCTTCAGGCATTGTTTGGGGATGGAGGAAACAGTTGGCCTTCTACTATGATATGCTAAGTCAGTTCTCCCAAATTCCAACAAATTAAATGTAGAGAATAAGAGAAAGAAAGTGAACGAAACTTGGCCCAAAGTCTTTGGACTGGTTACTACAGAATAGTGATTTAAATAACAAATAGCAAATACTGGAAGGGAAAAAAAATGGATTAAAAAGTTAATGGTTTGGGCCATGTCACGTTTTAGGGGCAAGTAAGGATACAATGTATAGATCTCTGGAAGGTGACTGGAAATGCAGGTCTGAGCTTATGAGAAAATGCTGATTAAAGACAGACCAACTTTACTCGAGGCTATGAAATCTTCAAATTGCCAAGAGAACAGACAGAAAGCTAGGGTAGGTGATGGTGTCCATATTTGTTGACTATCTATCTTGTGTTGGGTGCAACATTAAGAATTACACATGTTATCAAATTTAACCTCCCAACATCACTATAAAGAAAAAATTATAAATTCCACTTATAGGAGAACATATGTGGGTTCAGAGAACTTATACATCGTTCCCCACATACAAGGTGTAGCAAAACCAGGATTCCAATTCCAAAAAAAGCCGAAGCCTTTATACCTTGCTCTTTTAAATGCACATGTTAAAACACTTAGTTGTTAAACTGCTAAATTGCTTATTCTTATTTCAATTTATATCATTAAAAAAGCATTCTTACAAGACTCAAAGCATAAATATAAACTTTGTATGAATAGCATAGAAAAGGTATTATTCTCCCAATTTTACATTTGGGGAAACACACAGACAGTCATATACAAAACCACTCAGTGAATCATGATCCCAATACTAACATTTGATAAATGTTATTGACTCCTTACATATGTGGGGAATGGAGGCTACTAAGAGCCCTGGTACTCTCAACAAATTTGCAATATAGTTGGAGAGATTATATAAATATAAATATATATATATTCATATATACATATATATGAAAACTCAGAGTACAAAACCAGATAGCACAGGATTAACTTTTGAAGTCACATATTTACATTTTTAAACTAATTATCTTGCCAATAAATTTTCTCCATAAATAAGTCATCAAAGACCAAGATGTTTAATAATAAACTTCTCTAAGCAAGCATACTCAAATTTGCATTATTTCTCATGTAGTATATTCATAACAATAGTCTAATATATGGATAAAATCACAAAGTTTTCACGAAGTATTTGCTTTTATTCATGCTATATTCACTTACCTAACCATCCTTATCTACTCTTATTCTGTATCACCACAAGGTCACTGATTCAGCACATCAGGGGATATGCACCTGAAGTACACTAGATATCATGCTAGGCTCCGGACTTAGGAAGATGAGTAGGGCATTGTTCTTATTCCACTGGGCTCACAATACCACTTGTACTTGTAAGAACACAAGCTAGACAGTTACCAAATTACTCACTGGAAACATACGTCATTAGTTTACAGTAAAATATATGTTTACACTAAATAAATTTCAACATGCCAAAAGAAAAAACAAGGAATTTATTTAATCCAAAGAAATTTCAGACTTCTGATTGGAGACAATATTAATGAGATGCTAAATGAAATCCTCCCCATTGCAGAAAATTAGAATCTTTTGGTATATTTTCTACCAAACTGAGATAAAAAATATATACAAGAAAAAAAAACTTGCCATCTTTATACAATATTTTGAATTAATCCTTAATAAAAATGATGGTACATCTTCAGATTGAAATATATCCACTTAACAACTTCTAAGGATCAAATACAAGCATTCAAATGTGTACAAATGTGGAACTAGAAAATCTTAAAAAGAGAGATTAGAAGAGTTGAACATATTATTTAGCTATGAGAAAGAAGGAAATCTGCCATTTGCAATAACATGAATGGACCTCAAGGGCATTATGCTAAGTCAAATAAGTCAGACAGACAAACACAAATATTATATGATATCATTTATATGTAGTATCTAAAAAAATCAAACTCATAGAAACAGAGACTAGAATGGTGGTTATGAGGGCCTGCAGGTTGAGGGAAATGGAGAGAAGTTGGTCAGAGGATACAAACTTTCAGTTATAAGATGTATAAGTTATGAAGACCTAATGTACAGCATGATTATAGTTAACAATACTGTATTATATACTTGAAATTTGCTAGGAGATTAGATCTTAAATGTTCTTGCCACAAAAAAGAAATGGTAATTATGTGGCATGATGGAGATGTTAGCTAATGTTTCAATACAGTGGTAATCATTATATTATTGTTGACATTATTGATGCCTCTAAATTTTTCGTTTGTTAAGTATATCAAATTAACATATTGTACACCTTAAACTTAGACTATGTTATATGTTAATTATATCTCAATAAAGATGAGTTAAAAATAAAAAGAAAATAACAAACAAAAAATTTAGAGGCATCAATAATGTCAACAATAAGAGCAGGATTCTGTGAATATAATCATCACACAAATACTGAAAGATGTAGCTAAGCACCTTCAAATTACTGATAAATACTCTAGAGATATTTCACATCAAATGTGGTCCCCATCTTTATAATCAAAGAAAAGCTCTCCTTAAACTCTAGTAAAAGTGTCCATGTAGTAACAGGAAAACAGTGTTCTACCATTAACTCATGCTACACTTGAAAATTGGTTTTAGCATGATTTTTAAGTTTCTTTTGAAGAGGGAAAACCCATGAGACCTCTAATATAGGTGTCTGAAACATTCACACAGTAAAATAACATGATAAATATCCCTTCCTCCTCCCCTGTGTTCTCTCCTCTCCTTTTTCATTAGACTGAATGCCTTGCACATCTTTGATATTGGCTGAATTTGTTCAAAACAGGAATAAAGAAATCTGATAAAATTATTTACACTAAATTGTTAAGAGAGGACAACAGCAGAAAAAAAAATATGTTCAACATATGGAAATGAATTACTTAAGGTGGAGTGTAAGGAAACAGTGGGAAACATCTTTGTCCAGACACATTCAGGGTACCCCCTAAATAATAGGCACATATGGAATCACTTTTTATGCCAATAAACAAGAACTACCCTCCTCCAAAAATATAAAAGGTTGAAAAATGAATAGCTGTTTCTATCCCACAACATTCAGAGAGAGCCAGACAGAAAAATTGAATCAACATGATTATGACTGCCATAGTTCTTAGATTTCCTAGAACAGTCCCAATAATAAATATTCTTCCTATTGTTGTAAAAAAAAAAAAAAAGTAATAATGCCAAGGAAATGTCAGTATGTTGGCCAGTTTCCCAGACTACTTCTCATACCTTGAAAGGACAAAAAAAATTATCTGTATCTTAGGTATTCCACTTGGGGCTAAAGAAAATTTCTCACCATATGGGAGCCACACCGTAGAAATAACAGTTCAGAAAATCAGTGAAAAATTCAGCCAATCTCATCATGGTCTTCCATTTTATTCATGGTGGTCACAAAGCCCAATCACAGACCAGTAATCCCAGAATTCCACCTGAAGAGCACTATAAAATATGTGAATCTCAGATCCTGACTAGGTATGTCTTGAATTATTATGGTGAATTATGGTGAATGCATGCTCAATTAGTAAAGCTCAACACTGAATGAAGAATCATAAACCACGGACCCAAACAAAAAAGCCTCGCACAGCCAGAATACATCCAATATAAGAAATTTGAAAGAATCTGTACCTGAAACAAAAGAGAGAGAAGGGGTGGGGGGAGAATTCAGGCAACAAAGGAAAGACAGGTTTTTCTCAAGAGAAAATTAAGATCAGCCCATCAGCAGGAAAACAATTGTGCACTGAAGGTAATCCAAAGAGATGAGAAAGGTAGAAAGCAATGCACTAAGTGGTGGAATAGATGAGCTTTGTATGCTAACAAACCCTATACCAAGTCCT